CAGCCGCAGCTCATCCCGCAGCTGCTTGATCAGCTGCTGTCGCTCCTCTATGCTTTTACCCTAAAAAAAGACGGAGAAAAATCCGTTAAAAACCCAAATAAATGAAAACCGTCGCTCGCCTCGGCAGGAAGAGAGGACGAGGACCAGGAGCAAGAGTTTGGCCCATGGAAAACCAACTGCGCCGGAGCGGGATCATTCCGCCCAGGAGCCACCGTGCTGCTCAGAAACCCCCTTTGTCCCCACGTCCCTCTGAAAAGCAAAGCCCCAGCAGCAGATGGAGCCGAGCCGAGGAACTCCGCACCTTAAACATTTCCAGATTCGCCGCCTTCAGCCGCTCCTCCATCCGAGAGCTGGAGCGGGGACTGGACGCCTCGTTGTCGGAGAGGACGATGATGTCTGGGGAAGGGGTTAATCGGCCCCTGTCCTGGTCACTGCAGAGAAAAAATAGAAAAAAAAAAAATCCTGAGCCACACCACTGAGAGATGGGGGAAATGAAACAGGGAGAGTCGAGGCTGCCAGGAGCTGAGAGGAGGGGACGGGGGGGACACTTTGGCCCCATGTTGTTGGTGCGTCCTCAGAAAGATCGTCCCCGCTCCTCGCACGACGCTGGAGGTGAGGACGGGCTCCATCCCAAGCTGGCAGAAATTTCAGTCCTCCAGGACTATCTCAATATAAATCTATTTCGAAAGGTCACCTCGTAAAGGAAAATCTGAATAAATGCCCCACGCAGAGTCAAAAAACCCGCTTGAACCGTGACCTAGAAATCAGTAAATGAAAGGAGCAGCAACGGCAACAACCCGCCACTGGGAAAAAAAAAAAAAAAAAAAAAGAAATTAATGCTAATCCAGCAGTATCCAAGCTCCACACTTGTGGTGGCATCATTCAGAGATGCTAACAAAGCCCTTCGCTATCAGAATTTATTGGAGAGCCTCGGAAAAAGGGAACCAGTCCCATGCGACGCGGCAAGAGCAGCAGCTATCAGGGCGCTGGGCACGATGCCACCGGGACAGACGGAGTTATTGCTCCCGGACACGCTGGAAGGTCTTTGGAGGGAAGGAGATGCGCAGATTATCTCATCCGAAACGCTTGCACACCCCGGAGGAAGCGCGGGGCTGAATCCCGGTTCCCAGGCTCGGCTGGTCCACGGGTGCTGAGTCCGGAGCGGGATGCCCAGCTCACAGGGAGTTTTGCTGCAGCGTGGCTCCAAACCCTCAGAAAAAAAT